ACTAGCTCGTTGATCGAAGATGGTTAAGTTTCCTAGCCATAGACATGCGTTGTCATTTGATTAACGGGATCACATCATTAGGAGAATGATGTGATTGCCTTGGCCCATTTCGTTAGCTTAGCACTTGCTCGTTTAGTTTGTTGCTATTGCTTTCTTCATGACTTATACATGTTCCTATGACTATGAGATTATGCAACTCCCGTTTACCGGAGGAACACTTTATGTGCTACCAAACGTCACAACTAACTGGGTGATTATAAAGGTGCTCTATAGGTGTCTCCGAAGGTACTTGTTGGGTTGGCATATTTCGAGATTAGGATTTGTCACTCCGATTGTCGGAGAGGTATCTCTGGGCCCTCTCGATAATGCACATCACATAAGCCTTGCAAGCATTGCAACTAATAAGTTAGCTGCGGGATGATGTATTACAGAACGAGTAAAGAGACTTGCCGATAACGAGATTGAACTAGGTATTGAGATACCGACGATCAAATCTTGGGCAAGTAACATACCGATGACAAAGGGAACAACGTATGTTGTTATGCGGTCTGACCGATAAAAGATCTTCGTAGAATATGTAGGAGCCAATATGAGCATCCAGGTTCCACTATTGGTTATTGATCGGAGACGTGTCTCGGTCATGTCTACATTATTCTCGAACCCGTAGGGTCCGCACGCTTAACGTTACGATGATAGTTTCATTATGATTTTATATATTTTGATGTACCGAAGGTTGTTCGGAGTCCCGGATATGATCACAGACATGACGAGGAGTCTCAAAATGGTCGAGACATAAAGATCGATATATTGGACGGCTATATTCGGACACCGGAAGTGTTTCGGGTGATTTCGGAGAAAACCGGAGTGCTGGAAGGGTTACCGGAACCCCCCGTGGAAGTATTGGGCCTTAGTGGGCCTGAGGGGAGAGAGAGGGCAGCAACCCAGGAGGTAGCGCGCCCCCTCCCATGGGGAGTCCGAATTGGACTAGGGGAGGCGGGCGCGGCCCCTCTTTCCCTCTCCCTTTCCCTCTCTTTCCTTCCCCCTTCTCTCTTCCTAGTTGGACTAGGAAAGGGGAGTCCTACTCCTACTAGGAGGAGGACTCCCCCCTCCTTGGCGCGCCCCAAGGGCCGGTCGGCCTCTCCCCCTTGCTCCTTTATATACAGGGGCATGGGGCACCTCTAGACACACAAGTTGATCTTCGTGATCGTTCTTTTAGCCGTGTGCGGTGCCCCCCTCCACCATAATCCTCGATAATATTGTAGAGGTGCTTAGGCGAAGCCCTGCGACGGTAGAACATCAAGATCGTCACCACGCCGTCGTGCTGACGGAACTCTTCCCCGACACTTTGCTGGATCCGAGTCCGGGGATCGTCATCGAGCTGAACGTGTGCTAGAACTCGGAGGTGCCGTAGTTTCGGTGCTTGATCGGTCGGGCCGTGAAGAAGTACGACTACATCAACCGCGTTGTGCTAACGCTTCCGCTTCCGGTCTACGAGGGTACGTAGACAACACTCTCCCCTCTCGTTGCTATGCATCACCATGATCTTGCGTGTGCGTAGGAATTTTTTTGAAATTACTACGTTACCCAACATGTCGTTCAATGGCGGTGGTGCGGTAGTTCGTACCTCAATTTGGTGACGGTGAGTGTTGGTCGGGGTGAAAACCCGCTCTGACTTGTCAGGCTGACGGCGACGACGTTCTTGCGTCGTCCCCTTCTTGAAGGCATCGTCGCGGTATCTCACTTGTCGCGGTGGTGCTCCAGGTGAATCACTAAGGCCAACTCCACTGCGCGACCCCATTTTGTCCGGCCCTGTCCGTTTGGGCTAAAACGAACAAACGAGGCGGCCCAACACGCGACGACCCGGACCCATCTGGTCCGTTTTGTGTCCGGGCTGACCCATTTCGAGCGCAAACTTGCGCGGGGTTTGGGTCGCGGCGGACAGCGAACGGACTCTTCGAACGTCCGCGTCGGGGCCGCGTGGCAGGCGGCCACCTACCTCCCACCCGCGAACATAAATGTGCACGGGCGGGTGGCCCCACCTGTCATCCGCACCGCGAAGGGTCGCCGTCTTTCTTAAATGGGAAGCCGTGGACCGGTCGTCGTCCAGAGTTCCCACTCCGGCCCCTCTTTGCCCCCTCGAAACCCTACAGCCTCGAAACCCTAGCCGCTCCCCGTTGTCGACCTCGCCGGCCGGCCGCAGCCATGGGCTTTTGGAAGCACGACCGCAAGGGGAAGCACGACCGCGAGGCCGGCTCCTCCTCGGGACGCCACCACGGCTCCGTCAAGAAGGAGGGGCTCGCATCACCGTCGCGCTCCTCCATTCGAGCCCCTGCACTTACCCCCTTCACTATTGTGCCTAGGGCCGCCGGTGAGCGCGACCGGCTGTACCTGGCCGTTGATGTGTGCTGGCGGTACTGGGAGACGAGGACGCCGGTCCCGTGGAGCGACGTGCACCTCCCCAACAACTGGCACCTCTCCGCGGACCGGGTCCCCGTCCCGCCGGTGCCAGCGAGCGGCCATGCCAGGCGCGATGAGATCGAGCGCCGCCGCCGCCTCCTCCCCGACGACCTATTCGACGACGAGAGGTACGCCCCCGACTCCGTCCTGTGGGACACTTAACTCTAGGACGAGCACGACGTGCGACACGCGTCGTACTTCGCCGGCACGGTGTCGGGGCCGCGGCGGCCACGTCGGGAGGTGCGCGGGGCGTATGTGGGTGCGCGGCCTGACGCCCACGCCGTCGCCTTCCCCATCTCCACCTCCACCTCCTCGCATGACAGCGGAGGAGGAGGCTCGGATCATGGCGCGTGTCATGGACGACTCCATATACACGCATGATGAGCGCCAATGGAGGGGCCTCGAGGAGACGATGGCCCTCTCTGCGGCCGGCGACGTCGCCATCCCCGAGGAGGATGTGACTGAGGAGCCGCCGGTGGCCGCCTTCCACCCGGGCCTGGTGGACCAGGGGTGGACCTGGTCGTGCACGGCGGAGCAGATGGCGGTCGCCGTGGGGGGCAATTGGTGCCCCACGCCGCCGCGGTCACCGGAGCACGACGCCTCGCCTCGGGAGGAGGTGGTGCAGGCACCGGCCACCTTCCAGCCCGCCGCCCCCGTGCAACGACGACGACGACACCGGCGGCCACTGAAGACGGCAACGGCGACAGCCAGGGCATGGACGAGCGCGGCAGCAGTGTGCGGGCGGCTTTTTTTATTTTATTTTTATATTAATTATGAAACTGGGTCGTTTAAGTGCGGCGTGAAACTGGGCCGTTTTGTGGCCGTGACCTTTATATATATTTTAAGTTTTTTTAAGTGTGTTTATTTACTTTTTTAGGCATTTTATTTAAGTTTTTTGTTTTTTTAATCACGTCCACCACGGACATGATTTGGGGTGCAGCCGCGCGCTGGGCGCACCCACGACCCAACGGACAAACACGGACATGGGCGACCGCGTTGCCGCCCGAAAGGGACAAAATCCGGCCAAACCGGACGTCCGTTTGGGGTTGCGCGGTGGAGTTGGCCTAATCCTTGGATTGGGTGGTGGCGGCACTCCAGTGTCATTCCCTTCCTGAAGGCACCGCCTTGGAGCCCATTGTTCGTCATGCACGACTTCTCCTCATCGCGGTGGTTCATCCACGGTTGAGGGTCCTGACGTCTTTATAGTAGTGCTTAGTGTTTCATCCGATGTTTACTTGGAGTGGTTTGGGGTGGTGTTGCTGTTTTCAACGTCCTTGTATCTAGCATTGTGTGTGTGTGTTGTATTCGTGTGTGGGGTGTGTTTGTATCGGCTTGTTCGGTGATGGTCGATTTATATATAAAGCGGGGGAAACCTTTTTCTTATTTGCTTTTGAACAACCGGTTATTGCGAGCTATTCAATTCAAGGACACACTCGGCCAAATTATTATAAAGCTGGTCATAGTGGGGAGTAACTTAGGCCATGTTTGGTTCATAAGTCCTAGGACTTTTTTTAGTCCTAACTTATAAGTCTCAAGTCCCTAAAAAGTCCCTACATGTTTGGTTCCTGGGACTTATAAGTCTCTATAAGACCATATTACAACTATAAGTCCCTCCTTGAGAGTCTTATTTCATAAGTCTCAAATACCCACTTTAAGTCCCTATAAGTCCCTCATGTTTGGTTTAGATGGGACTTATAGGGACTTATTTAAGTCCCTAGACCAATAAGTCCCTGAAAACAAACACCCTCTTATACTAGTGTCATGCATATGACACTAGTCTAAGTTACTATCTTCATAGTGCAAAGTATCATAGTAGTGGTGTCATAGATCGCTTCATTCATTAGCATATAGACTCATTTTACCTCGGGAAGCGCTATGTTTATGTTACTCCAAACACCTCTTTCCTTATTAAATACTTGCCACATAAGCAAAATTGTCTTGGGATGTGTTAAGTTACTAGCTAAGTTACCCCACTATGACCAGCCTAAGAAAAAAGCAATGATGATACACGCCCTGCAGCCATATCGATCCTCACTAATCAACCAAGGACAACGAGAATGGTTTTTCAAAAACAATGCCTTCACGCCCAGCTGCCATACCGATTCTCGCTAATCAACCAAGGACAACGAGAACGGTTTTCTAAAAACAACGCCTTTAAAGAGGAAACAACATGATGGTGTTACCATTGTCAAGTCCATCAAGTAAAAAAAAAATGAGCTGCCATCAAGTAAATTTTTGAAGTTATGTGTTTTCATCATTAAGATCAAGTCCGAATAACCCCCGTGCAATGCCATCACAAAGAAATAATTTACGTTAAAACTCTTGTCCCGCTGATGGCTTACCATTATCTGATCCGGTGTAGTACAGATAGTGGGTGAGGAGTAGGGCCAGGAGTTGTTTTAGATACTTTTTCGTGCTCTGTATCTGAGAAGGATAACCGAAGCTAATGGTTATAACTGGTAATGGTTATGTGCCTTTGGGGGACGAAACATGACCATTACAGGCCAGACCTATTTTTTACACCGGAGTTTGAAACCTGACACTCAGGGAAGCATCCCCAAATGAAGTCCGCATATACTGCAACCAACGAAGATGATGTCAACATGGACGATCCTAATGTTGGCAATGTCATGCGACTGAGAACCATATCCACACAAAGCAGGCATCGCAGGCACCAGGAGCCGCTCGTAGAGCCATGGACTATCACAGAACAAATTGGTAAGAGACAAATGTCACATGTCCCGCCAAATCCAACATTAGGGATGCTCTGGTAGCCACACACACACCTTCATCGCAAGTGCGTGCTAGTGTTAGACGTGAGCAATTTGAGCATGCCCTAGCCGCAGACTATACACCGTGTGTCGCCACTAGCTCCATCGCAACACCTCTAACTCTGCCAAAACGCCTCACATCAACATGAACTAACAAGCAATGGGACTTTGGGCACGAGAACCGGATCCATAGCCTCCAAACCCTGCTGACGCCGACACCGCAATAAAGAGCGCCGAGGATGCTCCCCAAGCCCCACCGCAATCTGTCAGTCACACGGGCACCAGCATCTACTGTCGAGCAAGGGAGCTCTGATGATGATACAAAAAATGGGGAGGAAGAAATAGAGGGTGTAGAGGATGCTCTCCAAACCCCACTTACGTCGCCACCAAAATAGAGGGCACCGAGGATGCTCCCCAAACCCGCTACAATCGTCAGCCACATGAGCACAGCCTGACAGTGGCGTCTAGTGTCGAGCGAGGGAGCTCTGATGATAATACAAAAAATGGGGAGGGAGAAATGAAATGGAAAACATAATATGTTGATGATAATACAAAAAATGGGGAAGGGGAAGTAAAAAACTGTTAAACCGCCCACCGTGGGGCTCGAACCCACGACCACAAGGTTAAGAGCCTTGCGCTCTACCAACTGAGCTAGACGGGCTTGTTGTGTTTTAGTGAAGTTTTGTGTACATAATCCTATATACTGCGTCGCATTTCTCATGTACTTTCAGCAAGATAAAGCTTGAACTGGTAATTGTGCTCCTGCATGTCTACCCCCAAAAGTTACTACTTCTACAAACACTTCTTATTACTGCTTACCAGTCCTGCGTAAACCAATATTTTTATACTATCAACAAACTAAGAACTAAAGGGAAATCTATTCCAGTATCGCTGCAACCTGCAAACAACACCCGGGCAAACTGATCCCCTGAAAATATGCAATCTCTCTTCTCGCCTATGGAAAGCATAATCCTGAACTCTCCACAACTTCCTGTACATATCACGCTCTAATCACCTGAGACTACCACTGTGTTCAACTTGGTGATGCATCAACGCTTTCTCATCGTCATCAGCATCAAGCTCTTCCTCACCATACTCGATATCGATCACAGTGGCATCCTCCCTTCCCGCGTAGAAATCTCCTACTCCATGACACCTTTCCAGCTCGATATGCTGCAACTCCGATGTGATAAGAGAGTGCATTCTTGCCCTCTCCCTGTCGCGTGGGTATGTCCGGTACAACAGCGAGTAGATGAAGCAGCACAGCAGCATCGGGATGGCAATCGCCATGTAAAGAGCTTTCGCTAGAGCTGCGGCATTTGACCTGTCGCTCACAACACTGCTCACTCCAGACCCATATGAGATAGGGTTGTAGCCGTATGCATGCTCGGCTAATAAGCCGACAACTGGTGGAGCAAATGAGGCTAGGACAGACTCGAAGGAACGGTCCAGCGCGTAGATACTTGCCCTTGATCTCTCAGGAACGATCTCTGCAAATATGGGGCTGCACATGAAAAGTTTACATTTATTGCCAAAATACAGAATTTCATAGCTTATCAGCAGTTTGTGGTCGGCAGATAGGAGTATACGTTAAGCCCCTTATTACGGATCAGAAAAAAGTACTAATGATGAAATTGTATAGTGTGTGTAACTATAACAATCCCAAACAGCCAATGAAAAGTTACTTACCTGTTAGTAGCAGGGCCATTCCAGGAGATGCTTAGCCCCATGATAAACATAACAAGTCCATGCAAGACACCAGTAGATGAGTCATCAGGTAGTGCAAGCAGCAACAAAGCTGCAAGCGGGACTGCAGAACCCGAGCTTATTTGAGACAGCACTATCCTGCCAGAATCCGGGTAACGAACAGAGAGATAATCCCCCATCTTTCCACCAAAGAGCCCTCCAAGTGAGCTTGCCAATGCAAATATTGCCATGAGAAGTCCTGTTTTGTTGTGTGTAAAGCCCATCAGCTCCAACCACATTGGGGCAAACGACAATGCCGACCATGGGAATGACCCTGTGACACCCTGAGCCACGATGATCTGAAACGATGGTATCTTCACAACAGCCTTAGCTTCTGCAACCAAACCCTTCATCTCTGCCCACGCCGACTTCCGCACGAGCTGCTCGTCACTCTCGCTGTTGCAGAAATGAGGGTCCACTGCAAACAGATAGACCAACGCCCCGACCATCACACTGATGAGAGCAACAATGTGAAATGCTATACGCCAGCCGGCGATACCCATGATTGTGGTTGATGCTAGCATGATAGAGAACAAGCCTCCAATCACTGAACCTATGTTGCCTGTAAGTTGAAGCCATCCAAACGCAGAACCCCGCGTATTATGATCAGTATAGTCTGCCACTAGAGATTGGATAGCAGGATTGACGAGTGCTAGACCAACGCCATTCAATCCCCTAGCTACTGCTACCTGCTCACAGAAGCATGTTTCATCCTTTATTATCATCTATAAAAAAACATGCTTAGGAAGCATCGTAGCATTATTATTGGCAAATAAATCTCATTGCACACAAATGACTGCAGTTAAATACTCCTTCCGTTCACTATTATAAGATGTTCTAACTTTTTTTCTGAATCGGATGTATATAGATTATAGACACGTTTTTGTGTATTTTTTTCACTCATTTCAATCCGTATGTAGTTCACATTGAAATATCCAAAACGTCTTATAATAATGAACAAATGGGGTATCTAGCAATCCCAAGCCAGATTTTTATCCCCGCAAGAAAACATTTACATTTGAATTCGCACATTGGATGCCATTCACCTGATATTCAAATCTTACGAGATCGGAACAAAAAATACTCCAAGTGAAGAAACAGTTTGAACTAAAGTTTCAAATATTTGACATGTACTTAAAATTTACGAAATTAAAATTCAAAATAGTCAGAAATCAAACGTAACTGTCTGGGGCGAGTATTTGGTTATTTCACATTAATAGCAATAGTTATTCAGTTTTGCTAGAACTCATCTACATGAGATATAATTTGGTCTCATTCACCTTTTATAGCCACTGGATGTGATGCTATAAAATGCGTGTGTGCTGACATGGGTTGTATCTGTTTTTGTTTTCAAGGTGAATGAGACCAATTACTACAGATAAAGGTCGACTGCCATTCGGGAATCTTATTTTAGATGCGAATATTCTACTCCTATGAGAATCTTAGTCCACGTGATTTGCTTCGGTTACCCCGACATGAACTTCGCTTCAGATTTCGCACCTTTTACTTAAATTGCAAGCGTGCACCAGCTTTTGGCTGTAAAGCGTGAGCCGCAACGAAAATAATTAAGGGATCTGCGGATAAACCTAAGCATATACCCGAGATGATCCATGCCCCAGTTCGCAAAGTTGGATCGACAATATCACGAGGCCGAGAAGAATTTGGGTGGTCTTTGGTCGGGACGGACCTGGGCGAAGGTGCCGGAGACGGCGACGAGGAAGGTGGCGGCGGCCCAGAGGAAGGCCCCCACGGCGATGACGTGGGCGCGGTTGTAGCGCACGGCGGCGTAGGCGGCGAGCGGGTAGCACGCGGCCTGCACGAAGGAGCGGTACAAGGTGAGCGCGCCGAGCCCCATGGGCGTGGCGTGCAGCGCGGCGCCCACCTCCCGGTACACCGCCGGCAGGAGCGCCTCGTCCGCGCGCTCCATGATGGCCGCCAGGTTCACCAGCAGCAGCGTCCGACCCGGGGCCGCCTCCGCCATAGCGCCTTCTCCCTCCCTCCCGCGCGCGAGCTTCCGTCGGCGGCCTCTTTTGGTCCTTCGCCTGCCAGCGGTGCGGCGGTGCGGTGCGGTGCGCTTTCCTCGAGAACGAGGAGGGCGGTGCCTCGTCTCCTTCGCGGGCGCGTTTTCGAACGACTTTTCCCGTGGTTATGGAGAGCGACTGACGTGCGATCGCAACCGTTCGTCTATAATTGAAGGGCTTGATGGGAATCCGGGTCTGTATCAATGTGTCAGATCAGTTGACTGTGGAGGACGATGGCTTGGGTTGGCTGGCCGGACATCGCCGGCTGCGCTTCCACGTAGCTCGGCGAACGGCGGAGCGAAGCCGGAATATTCAACGCGTGGACGCGGCGGGTCCCGCCGCCGCTTTAACATTATCCTTTCCGTGACCAGGTCAGAGATAGGGGAGGTTCTAATAGCATCTGTAGCAGAGCTCTCAAATCCCTAAAGCCATATAAATAACTGTTTTTTTACAGTTTATAGCAAAAAATTGTGTAAACTAAAACCCCTTAACTCTTAAATGTTTTTAGGTCCAAATCTCAAACCCTCTTCCAACCCTGAAAAGTAAGGGTTGAGGAGCAAAATCTACCCCAACCCTTATTTGACGGTTATCCTCACGCGCGAGGGGAAAATTCTCCCAACTCCCGCGCCCACCCCGCGTCTGCCGCTGTTAGTCGCCCCAGCCGCCGCCGGCCGCCCCATCGACCTCCCGCGCGCCCGCGCCCGCCCCGCCCCCAGACGCCGGCCTCCTCCACCTCCTCCCGGCCGCGACCGCGCTCGCCCCGCCCCCGGCCGTCACCATCCGTCCCG